TATATCTTTTATTCAGTATTTCAAGAACCAAAATAAACAAGATAGGAGACAATGGACATTCCTATCTTATTCCTCTTTGTATCTTACAGGGTTTTGTTAGATCTTCATTAACAATTATTTGTGCTATCTATGAAGTGTACATCCATGTTACACATTTTATCGAGTTATCTCCAAATGTCATATCTTCCAAAACCTTGAATAATAAAGCCCAGGTCAAATTGTCAAATGTCTCTGCATCTAAGATATCAGTGTCTAAAATAATCTAAGATTATCAATGTGGATTGTTTTTTTTCATTATGATGCATCCAAGATTCCCAAATGTCCAGTACCAATACTAACATTGTCCTTTAACTGTCTTTTAGGTAAAACTTCATATTAATCCTAGTGAATAAATTGTTGCACAATTATTTCCAATCTAGAATAGTGAACAATTTGTAGTGGTTATTTAATAAGGATATTGTCTTATAATTTCTTGCTGAAGTTAAATCTTTTTGCTTTTTAGGTATCAATGCTATACCAGTATCTTTCCAACTCTCTGACAAATTTCTTTCCTATAAAATAAAGTTCATTATGCTTTGTAAAGGTTATAAAAATTCATCCTCAAAAATATAATAAAAACCTGATAATCCATCTGGACCAGGCACATTTCTGGTTTAATCTTTTTTATAGCTTCAGAAACTTGCTTTATTGTATTACAGCAGGTCCATGAATAATCTATCTCTTTTTTAATCTTCAGTAAATTTTGTTTCTTTAGATATTCATCTATTTTCTCTAGAGATGTCACTTTATACAAATTAGAATAATATGGATGAAATGCTTCTTGTATGGCCAATGTTGTAATAGTAATATCATTTGCTTTTCCCCCAATAAATATACAGTATGCCAATTGTGCTATGCTATGAGTTTATGCAGAAACTCTTTTTTTGTTTTACATAATTCATTTTTATTTCCATTTCTCTTACTGTTAATATAGAGAATGATTGCTGTGGAAGCTTTGTTTGTTGACAAATCTTCTTTGGAAATTTATTTAATTCTTCTTTTCACTTTATCTCATCAAAATTGCTTGTGTTTTCTCTTGATTTTCCTTCCTCAGTTCAGTACTAAGTTTTATAAAAGAACTTTATCTTTTAATAAGGGGGCATGCATAAGTGCACTAACTAATGCCTATTGTCCCTGTCATTGTATTTTTCTTTTATTCTTGTTCTTGTTTTTTGTTTGACAAATTCTAATAAATAAATACATCCTCTAATAAAAGATTTCCTTGCATCTGAAATCATTCTTAAATCAATGTCATTTTTTAATAAATCAAACTCACAGGATTATGATCCAACAAAAATCTTTGGTAATATCACTTCTTTAAAAACCTTAGCTGTCTTGAAAAGGACCTATGACTTTAAAAAAAAAAGCACATTCTCTTGAATTTCCATTTTTCTGTCTCCATGTATTACCCAGCCCTGAATTGTTCATGAAATTAAATAAAAGTGTTGGTAAATTGCCTTGAGTGATTTTAATGTTTCTTAGAAGCTTTATTCAGCTTTAGGGAGATCATTCCAATCCCTCATCAAATACCAATTTTCATAACACAACCTATTAATCTCTCCAGAAGTACTTTATTGAACAGTGCTTTATCCTGATTGGGGACATAAATTTCCAGTATCAATGTCTTAGTCCCATGCAAGTTAACTTCTATCCAAACAAATCTATTATGCTCATCCATTAGTAAAGAAACTTGATTTTGTTGGATATTTATATAACAAAACAATTCCTTTCATTTCCTCTGCTCCCCTCCCACTCCCTCCCTTTCTATTCCCTTCCTTTCCCTTCCCTTCCTTTCCCTTTTCTCTTTCCCTTGTTTGAGATTTCTTTCGGGGTGGATTATAATATCATAATGACAATTACCAGAAAAGTGTCAAAATAGTAAAGAGGAGGAGAGGATCATAGAACAACCTGCAGAGAAAGGAATTATACTAGATTTGCTTCTGAAAATATTTGAGGAACTAGGCAGTAAGTTAGCTAAATCACTTGATACTAAGTTGACAGCTTTGGGAAAAGATCACCAAATTTTGACAATCTCACACACTGCAACCTCTTGTACGCTGTTGTATAATAATGCCAGCATTTTATACAATCTGAACGTAACAATGGAATTGAAGTGTTTCAATCATTCTGTCTTTCACAATACAGTGTTGTGGAGACATATTTTGTTTTCTCTTTCTTGTATAAGAAGATAAGTAGCAAACTCTGAATAAATCTTAAATTTATTTACCAAAAGAAGTATCATACTTTTTCCTCTGTAATTCGCATTATTAAACCTTTAGCAGTTTGGAAAGTATTTGAGAAGCAGTTTTAATAACAATGAGTTTCTCTGAAACAGATTTCACAAGGATTTTTTTCAATTCTATCAATAGAGAAAAGATTCTCTTTTTTTAGAGATTGGCATGTGCTNTAAAAAACAAGTTTTAAGACTTGTGTGCTTCAAATGCCAGAGTTTCTGAGCCAACATTTTGGTTGCTAAGCAAGAGCTTTGTTAAGTGAGTTTCAACACATTTTACAAGTTGGCCACTCCCACCCAGTCACATGGCTGACAAGCCACTCCCACCTGGTCACATGGCCAGCAATCCACTCCCACAAAGCAGGCCATACCTACAGAAGAGGTTCTAAAATTTTTTGAAACCCACCACTGAGTACAATGCAATGTGAAGTTGAGTGCAAGGACTGCAGGAATTTGGCCTAAAATCTAGAATTCCACCAAAAAAAAAGTTACTTTTATCTCTCAAATCCTTCATAAGAGTTATTGCATTACATTCTTGATTAAATTATATTTCCATTGATATATAATTTTATGGTACTACTCCAAATAAAAATGGTGTTATTAGCCATCAAATCTCAACAATACTGTACACTTTTCCCAAAAGGTTTCCACAATTTTGGCTACTATTGTAAGGTGGTCATCTGGAGATATATATGGTGTGGATAGAGTAGCAAAATCTATAAGATGGCGGTCCTGGCATTGTGGCAGAGGTCATGCCACCTTGCATCCATACACAATATGAACAAAGTTCTGATTGCAAAGCAGTGCCCGTTATTAGGGCCTGTGATAACAGAGAAAAGGATGGCCTTGATCCCTTAGCTATATAAGGAAGTATTGGCAAGCTAGGAAGAAAATGGATCCACTTTAATAAACAGAAGGTTACAGCATTCAAAGTTCAGCTGCAGATCACTAAATTGAAGAGAATATAGTTTAAACCTTTCATCTGCTTCCCCTTCAGCTTAATCTGTCCATCTCAATTGCACTGGTTGCTTCCTTATGACCATTAGAAAACCTTTTAATCTCTGTATCCTTTTAACTGCTAAGGCAAAGTACATACTGTATAATTGAAATTAGGACTTATTCCTTTCCTGCTTTTGTCCAAATCTCTCCGAGTTGTTTTCCCTGACCCCTTGTGATATGGATTCATCTAACACAGGGTTGTCAAACTGGATTTCTTTAAGGGTGGAACAGCATTGCAGTTGTCCTCCACAGGACGGACGGCGGGAAGGGACAGACAGCAGACGGGAAGGACGCCTGCTGCAGCACCCTGCTTGCTAAAATGTGGCACACTCCATTTTGGCCAGCAGAGTGCTACAGGAGGCTGTCCAGGCCAAAATGGGGCACTGGGGGCCCCTGTGCCCCATTTTCATGAGCAGAGGCACCACAGGCTGTAGCTATTTCCAGGCTGGCCCCCCGGGCCAAATCTAAGCACTCGATGGGCCTGATCTAGCCCGCGGGCCTTGAGTTTGACACCCCTGATTTAGCCAATTCTTTCTAAAGCACCACAGAGATAGATAGGACGAAATGAATACTTACTTACATTCAGAGAAAAAAAAATTCTTACCCATGGAGGTAGTGGCCAAGGTCTGGCGACCCACAAACTGTGCTGGTCCCATGCTGCCCAAGAAATCACTGAACTGCCCAGTGGATGCCAGATGAACTCCATTGAAATTCAAGCTGCAAAATCAGTAGGTTAGCATTGACTATTATTTCAAGTCTTTACAATAGTCAACAATTACTTGAAGATATGCATAGAATAAACAACTATTTCTATAGATGCCATTCTCACTGATTTTCACACAGATTGTTACATGTCTTTTTCAGTCGATTTCTCTTTCTAATTTAGGAAATGTATATGCGCGAGCAGGTACAGATAATTACAAGCAAATTCTTCTTGGTAAAAGAATTTGAGGAAAATATAATTTTCTACACCAATCTTAGATGTTTGCCCCTCACAACTGTACTCCTCTCTCCTCCCCCAAATACTTCAGAAAAATATAAAATATCTATCCTGCAGAGACAAGTAGTTTGCAATTAATGTTTTAATGAATCTCTTCTGATATACATTTTAAGAAGAAATCTAATATTGCACAGACCAGCTAGTTGCTACTTATGATCAAAGAAAGTGCTGGAAATTGGGGGGGGGGGGGAATCGATCTACTGTTACATTTTTTTAAAAAAACTAAGCTTTTTATTCTTTTAAAGATCCTGTTCAGAAATTAAAATAACAGGGTATGACATACAGAATGTCTGCTACGGAATAAGCAGATAATTTTCTTAATTTTATTTTAGCACCTCTTTGTCACAACTGGGGAGGAGGAACCCCCCCCACCTAATTAATACATAATTTTATAATCAAATATCACCCCTCATCTTATTCAAGGGGTTTTTTTCACCTTATGTAATTGTTTTTCCCCTAATTTTTTCCCTAATGTAAAATGTCTCCCAAAATGTCTCTCAAAATGTCTCTCTCGTGTTTTGGGTAGAATTGGGCTCATTGCTCCCAAATCATTGCTCATATTCCCTTTATCATTTTGATTATTCTGCCTTTTCCAGCTGCATAATATAAGATAATCATTTGAGGCAGCAACCAGTTAAAAATAGTATTTAAACACTGCACTATATACTTTTATAAAGACATTCCATTGATCTATTTTCAATTCCTGTCTTAAGAACTTCCAACATGGAAGCTGTGTTTTGCATTTTAACCACACCCAATGAACAGTTTCATCAAGCCATAAACCACAGTGTCATGATCTATTTCTTGGACAGCTGACTCAGTTTTCTCCCAATGACCCCAATACAGTCTGAAGTTACAAAAAAAATAAAAGCAAAGGAATAAAGCAAGCAAACAAACAAACTCCAATACAACACCTTTAAAAACTTATTTATTAAAAACTAGTTGATAACCTGGCATTGCCCAGGTATTTATTTATAGGGGGAAAATATCTGGACCAAACATAATTTCTAATGTTGGATTTTCCCCCTTACCAGAGAAAGCCCCCTTGTGGAGGACTGTGAAGCCATTACCATGGCAACGCCACTGTGCTGTACAGTAGAAGCCATTTTAAGGCAGAAAAGGCTGTATCTTAACAGAACACACATCCCGAGGCATGTTAAGGGTGTCTAACCTCAGGCTGGTGCCTTTGGCTTCGTGCTTGTGCCAGCAAAGCGTGATTGGAGCTGCTGTTTTACCAAGAAACAGAACAGGACAACAGCATTGCCTTCTTTCCTTACATCAAAGGCACCACAGATAAAATCAGCAAAATTCTCCACAAACACAATATCAAGACAGCCTTTGGCACTGACC